AACTCTAAATATATAAAAAAATAGAATATTTGTATAATTGTAGATATCACAACTGAAGCTAAATATTCCAGCGTTTTCATAAAATCAGTGAACTATTTCATTAATAGACACGGAAACATTTACAGGTAAAATTGATTAATGGTTAGTAAAAACTTGGAATTCAGATATGATTTAAATCAAAACTGAGCTCACCGTCGGCGGAGATGCTGTACAAAACCTAATAACTATTAATATGAATTGTTTAATAAAATTGCCTCAGAGATTTACTGTCTGAAGGGACGTCCGCCACAGATGTAGACTCAAAAAAGGGAACTACAAAAGTTGTGTTATTTTAGTATCTCATTCAAATCAAGCAATTTTAGCGTCAGAGCCTGTGGTATTGCTTGTCAGTCTGCACTAGTCTGTCTTTCTCACACACTACAATCAGGTTGACGAATGAGACATATTCTACCTCTTTTTAAATTATTACATTGGCATTCCGTTACAATTTTAGATTTTAGATACACGGAAACATTTACAGGTAAAATTGATTAATGGTTAGTAAAAACTTGGAGGAATTCAGATTCGATTTAAATGAAAACTGAGCTCACCGTCGGCGGAGATGCTGTACAAAACCTAATAACTATTAATATGAATTGTTTAATAAAATTGCTTCAGAGATTTACTGTCTGAAGGGACGTCCGCCACAGATGTAGACTCAAAACAGGGAACTACAAAAGTTGTGTTATTTTTGCATCTCATTCAAATCAAGCAATTTTAGCGTCAGAGCCTGTGTTATTGCTTGTCAGTCTGCATTAGTCTGTCTTTCTCACACACTACAATCAGGTTGACGAATGATACATATTCTACCTCTTTTTAAATTATTACATTGGCATTCCGTTACAATTTTAGATTTTTCAGACTCGAAAATATAAGACAGAAGGTGTCGATATGACTACTTTAAGTACTCTAGACATGTCAAAAGCTTTTTAAATGTGAGATTTTATGCTATCATACAGTACCATGATTATGAAATGAGGGGTTAAAATATATCAATTTTGTTCTATCTGCATTATCGTTTATTAACCTCCGAAAGTCTGCTTTGTTTGTTCATTCATTTCCAGATTTTAAAACTATAGCCTCTAGCATAGCGCCTACTGATGGTTCAACAGAATTACCTATTACACAGTTTGATGATGCTACTACTACAGGTCAGTTGTTTCAATAAAAAAATCATTATTCATTTTTTGGGACGTCAAAAAAGCTATTTCATTGTCATTATCTAATAACAGAACAATGATGCAAAATATTGATCCAGTCAAAAAGGCAGAAATATTTACTGTCCATCTAACTGGTTACGTTACTGTGCATCTTGGTGTTTCTGTTTTTGCCGCACATGACTTACTCAGTAACTAGAATAAGTGGTTATATTTCAGATTATATAAATTTCACTACATATTCAATTTTACCCAAAGAGTATAATATTTCTTAGACAAGTTAATTTGTCTGAATTGTTAACTTTAACTGTTTTTGGAA